ACTTTTCCGCCTGAGCCTGTAATTAGCAGGTCCCACCGTTCAACAGCCACTGTGACCGGGCGCCTGTACGACAATAACARTTCTTGCGTGYCCTGCATAGCGGTCATCGGTAGCATCCCACCGTCTGTGCCYAGGCCCCTCCAGCCCCAGGCCATAGTGTCCAGCTTACGTTCTTCCAACGGAATGTCTCTTTTGGAGATGACCCTGTGGCAATCTACTTCCTCCCATTTACCCAAAACCCGTATCTGGCGCAGGGGGACTTCGGGTAGGGGGCCGACGTGCAACGGTTCCCTACTCGAGACAGCTACTGCCTCGCTATCCAAGGACTCAGGATCCGAGTCAGTGTCAGACGGTACGTGACAGATCAAGTTAGTCGAACCCGGGTGTTTGTCCCATCGGCGAAATGTTCTGGCCCCTGTACACGTGTTACTCGTCAGCTCCCAGTAGACAGGBTGTTCTAACTRAGTACGAGCAATATACCACGTGCCGRGAGGGTCCACCGTTTCCGGAGACAGGTGATCCTTCCAGGCTTGTGGTATCGCTGCAATGAGTTTCGTCAGTTTGCCTTCTACATCATGAAGTTGGGTTAACTTCCGTCTAACCTCTTCCGYAGACTTCCATCCCCCCAAGATATCATCCCAAATATCYCTGATGCGGAGGACACCTSTGGAAATCCATTTCTCCCCAAAGGCTCCCAGTTCACGATTAGCTCTAAATGGCTGACCTTGCGGATCGACTATGTGAGGGTTGTCAAACAGAGGCTGGCCCAGCACTTCCGTTTTGGTCTGGGGTTGCGACCACTCCGTAGGCTTCACTTTCTTCCAAGCTTTGATTACCCCTGCCCAGAAACTGKAGTGTATCTTCTTGCTGAGAAAGGACTCCAGTTGTAAGCAGAGYCAGGCTCAGCATACGAACAGCACCCACGTAATTTAATAGGGAGAGGAGAGAGACGTTTACCACCATGGCTCTCCCAAAYAGCGAAAGATGTGGTGCTGTGTTCCAGGATTTGATCCTGGCTGTCAACYGRTTTTGCAGCAGCTYCTCTTGTGAGGCCTGGCACRACTCCARTGAGATCAAAACTCCTAGAAATCTCTCTGCCTCTCCCTTACTTATTCGCCTCATTCCCCAATCAGCTTCCAACTCGAGTTCCTGTGATAGGAAATACACAGATTTCCTCCAATTCACCGCAGCTTCAGAGAACAGGGAGTATTCGTCCAGCAGGGTCTTCAATGCCTGCAACGCAGCAGCTGAATTTTCGCACATAGCGAACAGATCATCTGCAAGAGCCTTGGCCTTGCAGGTTGAGTGCGCCAACGCCAACCCAATWATCTCCGGGCGACCTCTGATGTTGCTCATAATGACTTCCAGTTGGATCACGAAAAGGAGCGGAGCCAAGGGGCAGCCTTGGCGGAGGGAACGAGATAACGGAAAAGGATCAGATAGATGGTCGTTCACCATAACCGATGCAGTGGAGAAGGTGTGCAGTACGACCACCCATCTGCAGAAATTGTTGCCAAAGCCCATTTTCCGCAGTGTGGTGAGCACGAAACTCCAATTTACTCTGTCGTAAGCTTTCTCTAAATCAAGCAGCAGAATGAAAATTGGTCTGTCCTCCTTCTCTACGATCTCCAGGGCCTCTATAGGTGTAACTATGTTATCAAAGATTGAACGACCCTGCACGAAAGCCGCCTGATCTTGGTTGACCAGCAACGGTAGATATCTTGCTAGTGTCCTAGCCAGTGACTTAGCTAAAATCTTATAGGACACATTCAACCTAGAGATTGRTCGCCAGTTCCTTATCTCGTCCCGTGCTCCTTTCTTGTAAAGYAGGGTGATGACTCCGTATGACATGCTTGAGGATAATTTTCCCCCAGTCAAAACATTGTYATACATCTCAAGCAAGGTAGGGGCTAATTTTGACCAAAACAGACTATAGAATTCCACCGGGATACCATCTGAGCCCGGCGCCTTTCCTTTAGCCATAGCCTACAYTGCCAACTTAAGCTYTTGTTCTGAAATAGGGCGGTCTAAATCCAAACGAGCTGTCAGAGGGAGTTTGGCTTCCACCAAGTCCCACAGGTCTGACTTTTCCTRCTGACCGCTGAGGAGTTYATCCGGATTYCGTCTGGAGGTCAGAATATCACAGAAGTAAGTCTCTGCGTAGTTACACATCTCCCTTGATGTTGATGTTGTCGGTGCACACTCATCAAATGGATGCTAAATTGATTTTATCTCCTTGTGGGAGAAGTGCGGCAGTAAGCGTTGAAACGTTTGCTTTGTCATCCGATCACCCGATCTGTCTCTTATACACATCTAGATGTGTATAAGAGACAGGTGATGGATGCTRAAKTGATTTYATCTCCTTGTGGGAGAAGTGCGGCAGTAAGCGTTGAAACGTTTGCTTTGTCATCCGATCACCCGATACAATGYCTTTTGTTGTTAGTATCTCCTTCCATCTGGCCGACTTTCTTTCCTGAATTTCATCCCACACATTCATCCTTTCTGCCCTTACCACACTCCACCAATGCGAGTCTACCGAACCGTGGGGAAGATTGCGGATCATTTCTTCGGCTTCTTATACCTTTTTCTTAGCTCGAGCTTCTTCCTTGTTGTCATGCAAGGCCAAGATCTTCGAAACAATACTGAGCATAGCTGATATAAAAAAAATGCAGGCGTCCCACCATTCGTCAGTGGAGGAGAACAACTGCTTTTTAGACTCTCATTTCCTCAGCTGGTGGGTCACCCATTCCCGAACACCGTCGTCCCTAATTGTTTCCACGTTAAGCCTAAAAATTCTCTTCCCACGCTCCGGGCCATCGCCCCTCAAAAACGTCAAAGTAACTGGGCTATGATCCGAGGAGGGATGAGTTTGGGTAGAGACCGTCACGGTGGCGTCCCAAACAGTCTTACTGGTAAGGAAATAATCTATTCTTCGTGGATTTACTTTCCTGCCTGACAACAGTTGGGACGAATACCAGGTGAATCCTGGATCGGAGGGATGAGAGAGTCTGAACGGGTCATATAAGTCCAACTTCGTAACCAGGTCCAACAGGGCATCAAGGTCCTTGCCCGCTCTGCCCGTATAAAAACACGGATTCGCATCATCTAATGCAACATTTCAATCACCCGCGATCACAATATCGTCCTCATCAGGGAGGATATCCCAGAGCTGTTCAAAAAAAAAATTCCTCTCTACCCGTTCAGTGGATGCGTAAACAGAAGCTATAGCCCAGTATTTGTTCGCAGTTCTTAACTTAACCCATGCCCACCTCCCCTGCTGGTCGAAGTCATGATCAATGATCTCTACATCCATGCTACGATGGAGTAAGATTGCGACTCCTCCACGTGATTCAACAGCAGGAGTCACACTTGTGGGCCATCCCACCACGCTCCCAGCGCTTCAATCTTATCTTGGTCCAACTTCGTCTCCTGCATGCACAGGATGAAAATACGATTGGAATGGAGCCAAGATTTGATTCTCGCTCTCTTTCCTCGCCCCCCGGTATCGCCGAGACCCCGCACGTTCCAGGTGGTCACCTTAATTTGTTGCATTCGCGTCAGAGTCTTGCCGAGATTGGATGCGAAGAGAGGGTATCCCGACGCCTCGTGAGAAACAAGTGAACCCTGTGTCCCATCTCTGTGTAATAAATGCGAAGAAGGAGGCAATCCGAGCGACCTCAACTTAGGAATTTTTTGATTCAACAGTCCTAGGCAGGACGCATCACCATCCCCTAACAACTTAATCTTCGCTTATTCAGGATGGTTAGGGAACATAAACCATTCTTTGGGGATCAGACGCAAACCCCGATCTACCAATCTGCTGAGGGACTCTTGTGTGATTCTGGCGTCAAGAAGGGGGCTAAAAAGCTTAGCCTTCAATCCTGGAAGTTCGACAAAGAAACGAGGAGTAGGAATATCCGGGATATTCCTAACCGCAATGTCCGAGTCATACATCCTACGAGTGATATTGAGAATGTCTAAAGGCATCGGGGGGGCTGGAATGGGTTGAGAGGGGAGACACGTTACCCCTTGCTCTGCTGCCCAGGCGAGTATGAAGGTACCTTCCACTGTTGCAAGGAACAACAATGGGAGAAGGTGCTTCTCCCAATCGTGATCTCCTACCTTCGTGCTCGTTGTCTGCCTTCTGTTCCTCTTGGCTGTTCCCTGGACATGTATCTGCCCTGGGGTTGACGAGGAGGAGGGCACTCCGTCTAACTCTTCTTCGATGCGCAAAGCATCCATATCTTCACTTAGCCTCCTTCGAAGCTTGGTGGGCGTTGTCTCTTTCCTTGGACCTTGGCATAGGTTCCTAGTGCCTTGATTTTGAGACGTGGATGCCTCCCCGCTCCCTCCGATAATTATTCTCGGGATTGCAACTCCAATCCTTTCTCCGTTTGTCCTTGAATCTGATCCAGGTTGCATCGAGCTTTTGTCCCCCTGAGGGATATTCCCTCCCTTCTCCTATCTTGCATTCCTCGCCTCAGGGGAGAAGAAAGGGTTGTCCCTGATTGACATGCCCGCAGGTCCCTCATGCCCAGGGTGAAGATTACTCCCACCGGGTGGTTTCAGCTGCCCGAAGTAGGTCGGTTGCCTAGGTCTGCTCCCGTTCATACTAGACGCTCTGGTAGGCGATCTCGCAGGTTCGCTAGACGCTCTTCCAGGTTCTGGCGACTTCCTTCTACGGCTCCGGTCTCCGTGCGAGTTTGACTGCCGCGAACCACTGGATGCTGACGAGCTGCTCGGGGCCGGACTCGGTTCTCTCCTTCTTCCTTGTCTCGTACAGTTCTCCACGACATGGAAGAAGCGACGACAGCGACTGCACCACGGCGTTTGAGCGTTGGCCACTTTGAGCTCAATCACTTGCCCCTGGAAGGTTGTGAAGGAGATAAACTCCTTCTGCCTCGAAAGTGCTTCCACCGCCATATCCATCCTGACATTGATCAGCTGAGGGTTTCTTGCGTCTTTCTCCGGAGGGTACACTTTGAGGACTTGTCCAATTAAATGTTTTGCTGCCGATTCCAGGTAACAGTAGGCGTCGATGGGGACGTCTAAAATTCTTATCCAAAAGTAGTTCTACGCTGCTTCTTTCTTAGTGTCCTGGATTTCCTTCTTCGTAAGCCACGGCTTGAAGGTTATACTATGCCATCTCCCCCTGAGAGTTACTCTAGTCTCTCCTTCCTGAAGCATCCATTCCGTAACTCTGGCGTCCTTCGCGACATAGGACAGAACGTTGCTCGGTTCGATGCGTATTCTGCCCCGAGTAACAGAGGGGTCAAACCTTCCTTCGCCCATCCAAATATCTTCAAGCGCCCGGATGACATCCTCCTTAATCCTCTTCGGCAGATTCTTTGACCCTTCTTGAAAGATAACCGTCACGGTTCTCTCCTTCAACCACTTGACTTTGATCTCATCTAACGATGGGTTCAAAGTGAAATGGGCCTTATTCCCATCCTCCTTCAGCTGCCCAATGTCCCAGCCTGCTGGGAGGATTCCGATGTCGAAGCACTTCGTCAGCATATCCCTCACCCGTTCCTCCTCCGCCCAGTAGTTTGTCTCTGCTGGGGGGGGGGAACGGTTCTGGGGGTTAATACCTTCATCCTCTTCCACCAATGGTCTCGGGGATGCCGCCACTCCTTCAGCTCCAATCATTCCAACATCTCCTCCGTGCGGTCGAACTTTGTCAACATCCATGGCGTAGAAGATCCCGTCAACTTGAACTGCTTACTCAAATTTGGACAAGGTTAGTCAATGCGCCCTTCGGCCGTTCGTTACTGTTGGAGATGGTAGTATAATCTCCAAAATCAAGTTACCAAGGTTTGATATGATTGGTTTGGTTGATAGGGCTAACCTACACGCCATGCAAGGTCAGACATTGCTGATTCCTAGACACTTCGTGTGAACCTTCGCGCCGGCATGGAGGCTGGGCGAGGGCGGTTAGGCCGGTGTGAACTGGCAGCGGCGGGACCGAGCGCTAGCGCCGCGAACCGGCGCCCCCCTTCGCAGTTGAATCGTGAGTGCATAGCTTGGTTTCCCTTTTCACCCGTTTTTTTTTTTTTTTTTTTTTTTTAAGGTCTTTCACACTGGCTGCACTCCTGGCGAGGCTTCGGGTGCCACCTGAGTGGAAACAAGAAAACGACGGCCTGTTTACATTCCATCTGCTGGCAGCAGGTCCATCATAAGGGGCGGCACCTGCTTGAAGCAACAAATGTTCCGTATTTTTTCCCATTCACTGCAGGCTCGGCAAAAACCGGCGCAAAGGGCATATTCAGGCTCGGCTTCAATAGCTGGGCCAAGTACTGGTGGTTTAACTTTCATATGGGACGCTGGGCCCGGTTCTCAGCACGTGCTGCTCCCCACGAATAGATTGGAGCCTTGTTYMAAAAAAAAAAAAAAAAAAAAAAAAAAAAAAAAAAAAAAAAAAAAAAAAAGATTCTAAAGACAAAGGTGTTGCCATATAGGGATAATTGGTAATGTGTTTTTCCATGTTCTAGGGGAAGCTTCGGTCTCTGTTTGGGCAAGGCACACAAATTTCGACACTTGCTCTTTGGTCGCCCTTTTCGCGGTACTTGTCTGGACCCTATCTTTCCATATTCTAGCGGAAGATGCACTCTTGCTTGTGCGTGTGGGTAGTCATCATTGTCGTCGTCACCGAGCATATGGATCATAGTCGACCTTTCGATCGGAGTGTTACCCGCTCACATGCATTATGGTGGGCATGCTCTACATCATCGGCTTCGTGATCTTTCCGCCGCCGTATGGATCATCTCGCTTGTATAGATGCACCGTCCCATGTTATGACTAAAGGTTCATCATCATTAGCGGATAGGTAGTAGGCGACAAGGAACTTGAAGAGTGGGGGGAAGAATGTAGCCAGGTGCAGCAGCGGAGTTGGTAGGCACGTGTGAATGCACAATCGAATGAAGGGGAGAGGAGGGCTTCGGTGCTATTCTGCATAATGTTGATGAGTGATCGCCGTCGGGATTGAGGTAGTTCACGTCGGGGTCGAGGTGCTTTCTGCTTATCCGTTCGGGAGGTACGAGCCTTGCTCATCATCGGGATTCCAAGAAGAAAAAAAAAAATTGGTAGTGGTGCGCATGTCCATTTGGGGATGCATCTATCCGTGCTTTAGCGGAAAGATAGATTCATTCTCATGTTGCACATAGTTGTATGGCATCTATTCGTGCTTTAGCGGAAAGATAGATTCATTCTCATGTTGCACATAGTTGTATGGTTGAGCTCCAGAAAGGTCGCACTGTTATGTTTCTTGTCCGAAGCGCTACCACTCAATGACATGCTGAGATACGGTTCTGTTGCTAATTGTCGTTATCCTCGCACCCGACAGTTACTATGCTCCCCACTTCATCATCATCATCATCAGATGAGGGACGCTGAGCCCGGTTCTCAGCATGTTTGGTTCGGTCACTCCGGGTAGACTGTGAGGACCCTGGCCTCAATCTTCCTCTCGATAACATCAGCCTTGGGCACTGGGCCCGTTTATTAAAGAAAAAAAAAAAAAAAAAACTATGCTCCCCACTTCACCTTGGTGCTCTCAACTATCTATAGAAGTTGCTACCGATCGGATCTGGCCACAAGCTCGATCAGCTGTCAACCTACAAATGAACTGATGATGTGGGCGAATCGAGAAGCGAGCTACGGTGCCAAGTAGCGCTCTGGAACAAGCATGAGACTCCGGTCCATATTCCAGTGAATGATTCAGTCTCATTTTGTAGATATGATGAGCAGTGCAACCCTACATGCACGCTGATTCATTGCATTCGTTCCCTTCAGCCTCAAGATCGCCCCTACGTCGAGTTCATCCTAGTAGTCGTCGTTTTTCTCAAAGTCGGGAACATCTGTTATTTCGTTAATCCTCGAATCCGTTGAGATCAAGGAAGGAGAGTCAGTAGGAGCAGAAGCGTACGGGAAGAGGCCGCTTTTGAGGCTCACCAGGGCCTAAAATGACGACAAGGATTATCAGATTGAGAGCTCAGTACTGATCCTGTGAAGGAAAACTTGATTCTTGACTCAATCTATTGATGGTCGGCTTCACGCAGCGAACGTTGAGTCGTATCTTGTTGCTGTTTGCTAGCTACTGCTACACTCTGGATCGTCATCATAGTGTTGTTTGTTCTGATTCTACTTCGACTTGCTGTGTTCATCACAAGGTTACTAAGCCCATCATATTGTGTGCTGTCTTTTGTGGCTCATCTGAGCTGTTGAGTCCCGGTCAGAGAGCAATGCTTTTATACGCAAGTGCTACTGCTATTGTGCACTTGAAACAGCAGGTTACGTAAATTGTGTCGCGAAAAATTGTTGCTACCATTTGTGCTAGGGTGATTCTCCTTCAAAGTTGTGTGTGTACGGATTAACTTTGGTTTGGTGTTCAGGTAAACTACTGCTTCGTACATTGTTGTTGCACGGTCGATGTCTATGTACACTTCATTGTTATTGTTGTTCATCCTCAGCAGTTGTTGATCAAGTTCGGACTGCGAATTGCGGTGACCAACTCGAGCTGGTGGAGCGAAGGTAGTTGGGCTACATCGTCACGATACTCGTCATTGATGCGGTGTTGTGTTGCTTCGGTTGCGCTTCTTTTTGGGCGTTGCTATTGTGTATAGTTGCTGCGTGGCACTGTGCATTGTTGGGCATTGCTATTTTGCCAGGCTACTGCACATGACTGTTGTCTGCGCTACTGTTTGACTAAGTATCGCATGCACTCCAAATAAAGCACAGGGGAGACTCTATTCGAACGCAGGTTTTCTAGGCTGCATAGCAGCAATTCGGTCAGGGGGAACAACATTTTGAATACTCGAGGAGCAACCGGGCGCTGCAACCGGAGTATTGTTGTAACTTGGAGACTTGCCTGGAGACGACTACTTGAGGCTCTTGGTCGTGGTTCGGCCGGCTTTACTGCATTCGTTTTGGCCACCATTGTAGGACCCTCAGGCGCTTCAAGGTATCAAGGTCCTCTCCTGGGAGTTAAGTATGTCCCTCTCCTATATCTCGAGCGTCTGAAAACTTCTCATCTTGTCTTTCTTACTCAATGTCTAATCTGAGGTTACGAGAGGAAGGCGGCAGGCGGGATTGTAACCTGTAGGACGGCATCAAGACTATGTGGGGAGTCTGCCCACCGATTGTGGGAGCTCTGACAGAGCCCGGGCGGGGTTCTGGAGGCAAGGAACATTCGGGTATTAATTTGTTTTACACGTGTGATCCCAGCCCCTAAACTATAGTACCTTTTGCCATTACAAGCCCGAAAGTATGACTGAGAAAGCTATTTACTTTTGGTTGTTTAGAGTTGAGGACATGATCTGAAAGGTTAAATTGGTGAGTATGTATGATAATTCAGATTAATTGTGTGAATTCGGACAATATGAATGGGGCAAGGCGTGAGGAAGGTGTTTCGCTTGTGTTTGACCGGGTCAACCAAAGACTGAGTCACTTTATGTTGAGTGGCTCGGTGCTATGTTTTATTCTTGTTTGTTGGACTGAATGCATGACCTTTAAGGGTTTGACCTATCCTAAGTTGGACAATTGGGCCGCTTGTTTCCTTTGGGGTTTCTGAACAGGAGGACGGGCGCCCTAAGTTAGGAAGCTCGGATCTCTGATGTTTCTTTTTGGGCTGTTGAAGAAGGACTGGGGATATTCTAAGTTGAGTAAACCTAGTTATGTATGTGTTTTATTCTGAGGGGGACAACAACATGAGACTAGGCGTACCCCATGGTTAGGGCGGCCTAGCCATAAGCTATGAACTTAAACGGTACTCTGAAGTATAAGAACTGATATATATATTATATATGCATCTAACAGGTTGACACCCTAGGTTGGGAGGTCCAGTCAATAAGTCAGGTGTGACAAGAAGAGAATGACAAGCAAATCAAGAGTACAATGTAGAGGTAACCTAGACAAGTTATACGTAGCCCTAAGTTGGAGTGGTTCAGTCCTATGCCAATGATAACATAAAAGGCAGAGAGTTAGTATAAAATCTTCTTAGTTTTTTAAACACAACTAAGGCAGGGTTGGATTTCTCCCTAAGTTGGGTATGTATGATCATTTTGTTTAAGAAGAAATAAATTTGTACAGTTTGTGGAAAGTATTTATGGTTGTTTGAATTGTTCTTACGAAGGTTAGTAAGTGTACTCCTAAGTTGGGGCGGCTTAGTCATACGTCGTTTGAAACTTGTTAGGCAGGTCAAGCGTACCCCTAAGTTGGGACGGTCCAATCACATTGCCTTATGTATCATAAATTGTATAGGCTAACTTGGCGTGCCCTAAGTTGGGGTGTCCTAGCGATATGCCCTCTGTCATTGATGTTATGTAGGTTGGACGTACCTTTAAATTATGGCGGTTTTATCATTCGTAGTTTGTATTTGTTTAGGCAGGTTAGGCATACTCCTAAGTTGAGGTAGTTTAATCCTATGTTATACTTAATATCCGTTTAAGGCGGATTAGGCATACCCCTAAGTTGCGGCAGTTTAACCTTATGCCTCATGTCGTCAGTTAGACAAAAGTCGGGCGTACCCCTAAGTTGGGGTTGTCTGGTCATATGCTTTATGTTGGTAGTTTATGTTGGGTCGAGCATACCCCTAAGTTGAGGCAGTCTGGACATACGTTTTCAGTCATGTAAGTTTGACACACCCCTAAGTTGGGGCGGTCTGATCCTATGCTATAGGAAATGGGGTTTTACAGAGGGTTAAAAGAATTGAGAGATTAATGAACTACTTGGCTAAAGTTAATGTGAGATTGAGAAAGAGATGTTGATTATG